TCAGATTGCGCAGCTGCAGGGTGACGTGGCTGAGCGTGACCAGAAGCTGGAGGAGCTGTTGGCCGCACACAAGGAACTCGAGGAGCGGCACGCCGACGACGCCCAAGCCGCGCAGGAGAAGCAGGCAGAGCTGGAGGGCCTGATTGCGCAGCTGCAGGGCGACGTGGCTGAGCGTGACCAGAAGCTGGAGGAGCTGTTGGCCGCACACAAGGAACTCGAGGAGCGGCACGCCGACGACGCCCAAGCCGCGCAGGAGAAGCAGGCAGAGCTGGAGGGCCTGATTGCGCAGCTGCAGGCTCAGATTGAGCAACTGCAGGGTGAACTTGGCGACAAAGAGGCTGAACGTGAAAATTCTGAAGTTGAGCATGATGAGGCTATTCGCAACCTGGAAAGTGTGATTGAAGAGCGTGACCAGGAGATAGAAGATGCGTTGGCTGCGCAGAGGGAACTCGAGGAGCGGCACGCCAACGACGCGTTTGCGGCTGAGGAGAAACAGGCGGAATTACAGGCTCAGATTGAGCAGCTGCAGGGCGACGTGGCTGAGCGTGACGAGAAGCTGGAGCAGCTGTTGGCCGCACAGAAGGAACTTAAGGATTGTCAAGAGAGCGATGCGCGCGCTGCCCGAGATAATGAGACGGAGCTGCAGCATCGGTTGGAACTTCTGGAGAATGAGCTGCAGTCCACGGAGAGGCATTTGCAGGATGAAATCGCCGCCTACGAAGCTGAGGTTGATGATTGGCGTGGCAAGCTGGACGCGGAGCAGCGGCAGAGCGAGGAACAGTCTGCCGAGTTTGAGGGCCGCATAAAGGAGCTTGACGGAGAGCTGTCGGACGCCAAGAGGCGCATTTATGAACTGAGGCACTACATGACCGATTTTGAACAGTACACTCGTGGCGCCTATGAGACGACGCTCGAGGGATTCTCTGCGAAGCGGCAAGAGGCGCTGGAGGAGCTCAGCCTAAGCAGTAGTGCCAACATGACCGACTACGCCAACGCCACGGCGGCACGGCTGCAACTGATGGAGGCGGTTGAGCAGCTGCAGCGGATGTTGGAGAAGGAAAAGCAGCAGGCAAACGAGGAGATCGGTAAACTGCGCAACTCACTGGCACAGTCGAAGTCCGCGAGCCACAATCGTATGGAGGAAGTCCTTGCGTTTGTGCGGTCCGCACAGGGCGCCCTTCTTCAGGCGGTGGAGGCTGGCACTGAGGACGTTGATGGGATCTCTCGCTTGGGGTCACCGGAGCCTCGTCGTGGTGTTTCAGTGCCACTTGGCGACTGCTCGAACAAGGAAAATAATGCGAAGCGCAGCAGCTCGCGAGCCATGTTTGCACCGATGAGCCATGCGGTGTGAGCGAAAAGTTAGCCTTATTGCTCGCGGTAGGGGTTTGGCAGCAGAAGGAGGCGTGTATAAGGCGGTACTGGGCTCTGCAGTTGGACGGCGTCATTCATTTTCTCTGCGTGAGCGTTTTGTTTTGTTTTTGGTTCTTTGGTGCCTTTTGCTCCGTGCACCTCGTTGCTTTTCCTTTTCTTGAATTGTTGTGTTTAGTGGTCACTGTCGCTGTTATACCAGCTGTATTCACTGTCTTGTACGATCTGCGTCTAGTGCGTGTGTGCGTGTGTGTGTGTGTGTAGGAGAGGGGTGGTGTGGTGTGCCTCGTTCTGCCGCCACCGTTCGCTGCGTGTTGGCTTCCGTGGCGCACTTTTTTTCCTGCGCAACGTCAGCCGCCTCTGCCCCGCGTGCTCCCTCCGTCATCCGCCGCTCGTCCACTGCCATCGCACCGGCCGAGAGAAGCGCGAGGGCGCGCGGCGGCGGCGGGACGCAGACGCAGCAAGCCAAAGCAGGAGCCAAACGGTTCACCCGCAGGGATGTTAAAAGGCAATGAAACAAAAAAAAAGAGACGAGGAGGCTGCACGGTTTGAGATTGCGCATGCAGCTAATTGGCCCACCTGCCACCTGCATGCTTATGCTTTTATGCATGCGCGCAATGTGCACGTTTCTTTCCTCTCTCTGTGTACCTTCCTTTTTTTCCCCCTCTCCGCACACACACACACACACACACGCGCCCGACCGAAATGAAACCGTAAATAATTTAGATGATTGTATCCATTGTTCATTTATTTTTGTTTTGTACTATTTTAGATGTACTTCTTAGAGTTTCTCTTTTTACCCTCCTCCCGTGCCCTGCAACGACGAGTCATAAAAATAATACACTCGTCGCGAACACACAGGCGTACACGCGCATTCTCGTTCCTTTTTTTTGTGTTTATGTGGGTTTTTTTTTCTTCCTTTTACAATTGTTGGGGGTGGGGGGCTTTTCCCGCGGTCTGTAGATTTGGCCCGCTTTAGACTGCGGATTTGCCCCGGGTCGGCGGGCATTCCCCCGTTTCTGGTTTGACTTCTCCACCGCGACTTTTTTTCTTTGGCTTTGGCTTTGGTTTTGTTCGTTACTTGAGTTACGAACAAATGCGCCGAACCCCAACAATTGTTGAGGCGGCGCCCTGCCCCTTCCCCTGCGTTTATTCCTCTTTTTTTTTAAAAAAAATTTTGTTTGTCTGAAAACCCCCAGGGGAGTCCAAAAAAAAATAATAAGAATAATAAAAATAATGGTTATTGGGGTGTTTGTTGTTTTGTGTTTGTACTTCTTGTTTTGTTAACAGTTTGTTTTTCTTTTGTGTGCGTCTGTGTGGATGCGTTTGGGTTTTGTTTTACGCCTGTACTACTAGAGCCAGCCGCCGAGCAGGGCGTGCGCGGCTGTGCGACCCTCTTTGCTCTTTGCCGTTGTGCGCGTGCGCGCGGCTGGTGGTCGCCCCAGTGGGCGTGCTGCCTGAGCCTCGCTTTCTTTCTACCTCTTTCTCTGTCGGCGTGTAGGTGCGGCGATGCGGCCTGCGGCGCGTAGCAGTTGCGCTGGCGGCGGTGCAGTGGCGGACAAAAGCGGCCTGGCGGATGCGACAGTTGACGCGCTGCAGCGGGCCGCACGAGACGCGCAGGGGGCCGTCGAGACGGGCGTGACGACGACGCGTCGGCTGCAGCTGCAGGAAGAGCAGATGCGGCGGGTGGACCGCAGCCTCGTTGAGGTGGAGCAGGGGCTGGGCGCCGGCGACCGTGCCCTGCTGCGCATGACGTGGACGGGTAGAATTAAGAGTTGGTTCATGCCGCCGCCGCCGCCGAGTAATGGGGGGGCGCCATCATCGTCGCCGGCGCCTCCGCGGCCCCCGGGAGAGCAGCCGGAGCAGACGCGGCGGCGGGAGGAAACAAGTGGCGGGGGTGCCGATGGGGTGGGTGGCCGCGGCAGTCGGCTATGCAGGGAGGAGGAGGAGGAGGAGGAGGAGAGGTTGTTGGATGCGTTACTGGACGACGTGCACGCCATGCGGGAACAGGCCACTCTTCAGGCGGCGATGCTCAACGAACACAACCGCCACCTTGACGCCATGGCGGCAAAAACCGCCGGGCTTCGCAATCACATGGAACGTACGAACCAGAGAGTGGAAAAGATGCTTTAAGCCTCCTGAAAGGCCCGCCAATGTCTTTCGCGGCTTCGTCCGCCTTTTCTCCCCCTCTCTCATGTAGTCTCCCACAATCACTGCACCCACGCCGCTCACCGCGGAATGCGGTGCCACTGTGGTTTGTGTGTGTGCGTGGATGTTTGGTGAATGTTGTTTTCAATTGCAGTGCAATTTCCCCTTTATTGTTATCATTACTGTTTCTATTTATGGTCGACAGCGCGCGCGGGCGCGCAGGGGGAGGGGGAGGGCACGTTTTCCTTCACACCCGCCGTGTATTATTAATATTTCTGTTGCACCTTCGTTTTGTAACCTCTCGGGGTGACTGCTTCTTCTCTCCGTGCGTTTTATTTTGCAAACCTCCTGCATGTGCTGCCGCAGGGGCAGACAGCGTTGATTGCAATGCGACGGTGCGGCTCGCTGCTTCGCCCAGCGTGGCGTTGCACGGCTGCCGCGTACGCCAGCCGCGGCGCGGCGGCGCGGGGGCGGCGGGGCAGGCGAGCGTCTAGCGGCACCGCTGGCCTGCGTGACGCGGTTGGTATGCTGATCCCTGAGGCCTGCCTGCGCCGCGACCGGATGTCGCCCGAGGCGCTGGACCGCTCCATTGAGAATAAGGCGCGTGGCCTGCTCGCCCTGGGCGCGGACGCAGCCGCCGAAGCGTGTGGCCCGTACGGCGCCTACTTTGATCGGCGTGACATTCGCTTTCAAGGGAGGAACGGAGACATGCGCCAATTTGCGGAGATGGCGGCGAGGGCCGTCGCGGCGGAAAATTGGAGTGACACGTCGCTGCGGGGCAATGCCCCGCTGAGGGATGCCGTGGCCTTCGTTGGGGGGAGGCGACAGAAGCGGCCGCTGCCGGGCGCCATCGCAGACGCGCCCAAGGCGGCATTCACCGGCGGGAGCGCGGCGATGCTGCAGCGGGTGGTGCGACGTCACGGCGGTGATTTGTCGTCACTTACGCATGCTGTGGCTGCTGCGGGTGGCTGTGTGCCCGACGCGAACGCCGGGGACTGTCACGATGGCGGCGGTGAGGGGAACAGGGCTACAGTGGCAGGGGAAGAGCCGAAGCTGGGGGCGTCATCGCCGTCGTCGTCCGTAGTGACGGAAGGTAAACGACGCGTGCAGCGCCGTCAGCGTCGGCTTGAGCGCATTATGAGCCGTGAGGGGGCCGTGCATCCTTGCGTGTACCAAGGCGGCTGTGCCTCACAGGGTGGGGCGGCAATGTGTCCGTTTGCCTTGTACCCTGCAACGGTCTGCGTGGCATGGCTGCGGCATGGCTGCTGCGAGGATGCCGTGCGTGGCGGTTGCCCATGGTGGCACGGCAGCGTGGCTGGTACAGGCAGGGCAGAAGCTGTGGGCAACCGGCTCTTTGGCGACGTTGAGGACGCCGACGCCGGCGACGGCGAGCTGCTGCGTGAGAGCTTCGCGTGGATGGCCGCGCTTCTGCAGATGTTTTTGGACCTCGTGGTCACCGCGCTCGAGGACGCGCGGTTTGACTTCTCGGAGGGTCTCGTGTCTGCCGCGGCGGTGCGGGGGGTGCTTGCGGCGTCGCTAAGCGCGTCCTCGGGCGCCAGAGCGGGTCACGGCACCGCCATGCCGCTGCACTACGACCCCGCATGCGACTCTTTGTCGGTGGGGGAGGAGTTGGCGGTGAGTGCTCTCATGGAGGCGGAGGCGGGGGCGGAGGAGTCGTTTGATGTTCTGCTTTCCCGCGAGTCGGCGTCGTCCCGGTGGGGCGCGGAGGTGCCGCCCGGCGAAGCGGGAGACGCGGAGGAGCGGCTGCATGCCCGCGCCGAACGGCGCCTTCGCCGCGTCCTCGCCAACTTCCGCGGCTACGTTTGCGCGGCTGGCGCCCACGCGGGGGCGGGGGATCGCATCGCCCTCTGCACACCGCTCACCCGGTGGCTGCTGCAGCGAGTCGCCGACGATTGCCAAAGCCAGCGTAACCACGCCAACACCGTGGAGGCCACACCGCAGACGCTTTTTGAAGAGGCAAGCACCGCTCTCTTGCGTACGCACCTGCAGAGGTGTGGCGTTGGCAAGGATGGCGTGACGGACGCTCCGGCGAACTTCCACCGCTGGCCCGGCCTGTCACTGTTGCAGCTGATGTCGCTCCTTGCACGGACTCCAGCATCGCGTGAGATGACAACGGCTCTGGGGTGCGAGGAAAGCTCCTTTCTGTACACGGCGCTGCTCTCGCTGCACGTAACCGGAACACCCAGCTGGGCTGCGGACAATGTGCAGGCGCGGTATGTGGGTTGCTGGGTGTTCTTTCACTCGCTCCTCTCAACCCTTGCGCTGGGCCTCGTTCGTGCAGGCGTTCAACAATTTACGCTTGCTCGCCCAGCCTTGCTGGGTGTGGCGCGGCAACTTGCCCGCGACGTGGAGCAGCACTTCTCCGTGCCGCTCCTGCGGAAGTCCGGGTGGTCGGCGTGGACGGACGAGCAAATGTTTGCCGCGCAGCAGTCGCAGGCGTACACCGCCGTGGAGTATGCGCGGTTCCACCTGCCTGCTATCGCCCACTGCTTCCTGGCGGCTGTGTTGAACACGCTTCTGCTGCACGTCGCGAGGGAGGCGGCGCGGCGGTATCAGCTGCGGCTGAGCCCTGTTGCCGCCGTGCTGTTTAGTAGGAGCCGGGACTTGGACTCGCCGCAGGAGTCGCTTCGACGCGAGCGATGTCTTCGCAGCGGCGGCGGCGGTGTCGTGGTGCGGCGAGGCGTGCAGCCGTACGCGTTGGAGGCCGTGGCGCTTCTCTCCCGCCTGCATGACGAGAATAACGCGGTGCTGGCGCGTCGGCAACATCTGATGGATGAGTTCATGACACGGCGCGCGGAGTACCACGAGCGCACGGCGACGGAACTTGCACGCCGGCGGCAGAGCCACGGCAGCCACAAGCCGAGGCAAAACGGTGGCGTGCCCCCCGTTGACGCTGAGGACACCCACGTCTTTGAGAAGTTGCTGCCGCACGCCTCCGTCATGGTCTCCGCGGACGTCCTGAGCTTCTTGCTGCCCGTCTTGTTCCGGGGCGGTGGGGCGTACAAGGCGCTGCGCCTCGCCTCGTCGGCGATCCACGCCAGCAGAATGCTGCGACACGCCGCAAAGCAGCCCATGCCGTACCTCGTACAAGCTGAGAAGACGATCTACAGGCGGACGCGACAAGGCGGGACGGGGCGTAAGCGCCTTATTCGCCTCCGCGTTCCCGTGCTGCGCCGAGTGGACGCCGAAGCAGAGGCGCGGGAACGCGGCGGCGTGGGCGCGCGTCCCGTTGGGTTGTACCTGCAGCTCAGCGAAGGCGTCGTGGCGGAGATGGCGGGCATGGGCGCGCGCATGGGAACGGCCGGCGCAAGGCTTGTGCGTGGGGTGTGCGAGGACAGCGTGCGGGGCCTGCTGGTGGACTACGCTGAGGGGCGATGTTTGCCGGCGCCGGACGCCGCCGACGTCCACGAGGCGGGTTCCGTCGCCGCCGCCTTCGGCGCGAGGGCGCTTAAGGCCATTTTGTCGCTTGCAGGTGTCGGCGGTCACGGCAGTGCCGGTGGCGGTGCTGGGGGGCACGCTGCAATCCACGCGGCGGGCACCGTCATCCTCGAGCGCCGCATCCCACCCACGGCGCTCCTCTTGGAGACTGCCGCGGCCCTGACGCCGAGCAACGACCACGCGGCTCACGCGCTCTACGAGCGCGTCTGCGGCATGGATCCGAGGGCCCTTGTCACAGACCGGGTGTTGCTGGCGCAGCAGCATCACGCGGCCCGACGCCACTTTGGACGGGCGACGGCTGTGGCCTCCGCCGTGTGGCTCGATGTCGTCCGCGCGGGGCTTGCCTCGCTCTCGCGCCCCACAGCCGTCTTACTGCGGCAGGAGGCGGAGCAGCAGCTGCCCGCCTCCATGGAGTTTGGGGAGGAGCCGCGGGAGAGGAGGCCGGCCCCACGCACCGTGGCGGAGCTGCGGGACTCCCTGGAGCACTTGGCTACGGCAGACGCCGTTGTGCCCACCGCCGGCAGTTGGTCTCAAGGCGGGTACGCGACGTACGTGACGCGGTCGCTTGCGGCGCACTGCATGGACGCCGGTGCCCTGCGCCGGATGCGGTGGGCCGTTCTCGCCGCCACGCTTCTCGCCGCTACAAGTGACACACTCACGGGCAGACAAGGGGTTTGGTCGCGACTGCTGCTGCGCAACACGTTCATTGTGGCCCTGCAGGCAACGAGTCCGCAGGAACGCGAGCGGGATACGCACGCGACGGTGCGTGTCTTCCTCCTCACGGACGTATTCCGCCCCATCATCGCCACGGCGGCGCGGGCAGACGAGCAGGGAATTGTGTGGGGCTCCGCCGCGGTGCGGGATCTGCCGCAGTACCTCGCAGCGCAGGCACGGCTGGCGGAGCAGCTGCGCAGACAACCGCACGCTGGCGAATTCCTCGCGGGGATGCGCCGCGGCCTGCAGCTTCTGCCGCGCTTCAGGGCCGCACTGGGCCTCCACGACGACGGCGATGACGCCGCCCGGTCGAATGCCTGGCGCCTCCTTGAGCCCCTACTCCAGCACCCGGAGTTGGCGGCCGCGTGGCTGCAGAAGTCGCTTTTTGCGTTGCCGCCCGACCTCCTCCTCTGGATCACCGCACGCGTCGACGTGAGCGACACGGCAGCCGCCTTCTCCCTCGCCGCATGGTCGATACTTCTGCACTCGAGCCGCGCCGTGGACGCGGCGGTTAGGCACACGGTACTCCAAACAACCTCCCGCAAACTCACTGCAGAGCAGAGCAAGAAGCTGCAGGAGTGGCAGCACGTCGCTGAAGCAACGTCATAACACCCACCGCACCCATCGAACCTAAGCCACAGTCATACTGCGTCTACATTACACTACCAACTGCAGCCCCGCACCGACGCACTGCATACATATAGACGCGGCAAGGAGAGGGGCGCGACAATTAGTTTCGGTGAACGAGTGAAGTTAAGCCCAAAAATAACTTGACCCCTAATTTCAACTCTACAAGCCCAAACTTCTCTCATCACAAATCAAAAAGGAAAAAAAGGAAGAAAAAAGAAAAACTAAAAGGCAGCAAAGGACGCAATGAGCGAGAAGGATGTGGCTGGTGTTGTGGGCCCCGCGGACCAGCAGCAGCCGGCGGTGCCGGAGGTGACGGACGTCACGCTGGAGGCCGCGCGCAAGCAGAAGATCCACAACCTGAAGCTGAAGACGTCCTGCCTGTCGAACGAGGAGTTCATCCAGGACCTGCACGTGTCAGACTGGAGCGAGACGCAGAAGCAGAAGCTGCTGGCGGCGCACGAGAAGGCGCAGGAGCTGCTGGCGGCGGTGGAGGGTGGGACGAAGTGGAACCTGACGGAGGCGTACGACATCAAGAAGCTGATGCGCGTGTGCGGGCTGCAGCTGTCGGTGCGCGAGCTGTACAAGCCGGAGGACAAACCGCAGTTTATGGAGGTCGTTGCGCTGAAGAAGACGCTGAACGAGCTGAAGCAGCACCACAACAAGACACGCACCGTTTCC